AACTTGAGGCAATTAGATAATATACACATAAAATGGGTAAAAAGCGGTAACACGCATATTAAAAAAAAATTAGCTTCATTTAATATTATTTGTTTTTTATCTGTATGATTGTTATACCCCTCTTTTTAATGGGGCAAAAAATTACCCAAACTCATCCAATTGAGACGGGAAGTTAATCCTTCGAATGCATCAATTGGTGCAATAGAATACCTTTTACTATATAAAAAAAGGACATATTCTTGAAGGATATCATATATACAAAAATCTAACTCCTGCGATCGAAAAAAAAAACGTAAGTTTATTGTCATACAAATACAAAGAATAATACACATATTTATATAATTTCCATTATTAGTGTTATTGTTATAAACTTTGATATACATTCTATAATAAGTCTGAACAATATTAATAGAAATGGGCCAATGAGCATCTTGTAGGGGATGCTGTATCTCTTACCTCTCTCCTAACTTTTCTGTTCTTGCTTTCAAAATTAAACGTTCGTATAAGTAAATTTACTATCAAAAGATTTTCTTTTAAAAAAAAGCCTTGATCCAATAACTAAATATAACAGAAAAAATTTGACATATGCCTTCTTTTAATCTTCATCCTGGTTTTGCGGGGCAATCTATCCGCGCTAATCCATGGATACCCTCACAGTTCATTATTACCTCTTCGCAGCATTTTGGTGTTGTTGGCTCTGGTAAGGTTTATATTGTCCAGACCACACCTGGTTTCGCCGCCGGTAGCCCGGTCCAGCTCATAGGGTGTTGGGGAACCCCTGACGGCGCCTTTGACGCTTGTTTTAGTGAAATCGACCAGAACATCGTCGCGGTGGCGTGCGGGGATGGTGTGAAGCTGTTTGACGTTCATCAAAGCGCGAATCGAGACGGCGCGACGCCGATTCTGCACAACGCCGAACACCAGAAAGAGGTGTCCTGCGTTGTGTGGAACGCCTGCAAGCGGGACACCTTTTTCTCCGCGAGCTGGGACACCACATTAAAAATGTACAACGCCTTAAACCCGAGCTGCTCGATTGTGACGATGCAGGAGCACTTTAAGGAGGTCTATGAGATCGCAACGACTACGCATAGCCCGAGCTCAATTCTCTCGTGCTCCGGGGATGGCACGTGGAAGCTGTGGGACATCCGTGCCTCGCCATCTCGGTCCGTCCTGACTCAGATCGCTCACCAAGGCTATATTGTGCTTTCCATCGATTTTAACAAACACGACCCGAATCTCTTCGCGACAGGGGGGGTGGATCGGACGGTGCGGCTTTGGGATGCCCGACGGCCGACAGAGCCGCTGGCCTCGCTGCCGGGCCATCAACAAGCCTGCCGCCGCGTCCGGTTCTCGCCGACAAGCCGCACCTTGCTCGCGTCCGCGGGCTACGACATGCGTGTTTGTGTGTGGGAGCTCACCCAGCCCCAGAAACCCATGATTGCGTGTTACTCACATCACAGGGAGTTCGCCGTCGGTCTTCACTGGTCCGCGATGGCACCGAACAACCTGGCCACAGTTTCGTTTGACGGGACAGCCTTTTTTCTGGCTGTTGGCCAGGCACCGACCCGTTCGCCACCTCAGCCGTTGGAAATATCAGCAGTCCCTCCCCCTCGCCTACCGCGACCGCGCACGACTGTCCTGCCTGGTCTACCACAGGCAAGTCCACCACTGACCATGCCCCTTTCTACTCATTAACATTGCGGTCAATAATCTCTGATTTAAAAACATATCGTCTAGAAAAGGATTTTAATTGCCCTTTGAAAGTTAATGGCATTATTTGATTATATTCACAATGCCTTTTTCTAGCGATTCTTATTTTAATTTACTGTAAAAATTTCATATAATAAACGTGCAATTCAATCATCTTATCTAGGAAGTGATTATGATTATTATTATTATTATTATTACTATTATTATTAATATTGCTATTACCACTATGATTGCTCATACTCCTGGTGAACCCTTAAAATTAAGTATAGGTTTGAGTCATAACTGATAATTGTCTAGAAAAGCAAAGAAGGAGTTAACAATGCAGCCAAAAGTGCATCCAACAAAAAAAGCAACGGTATGGCAGAGCTACCAGAAGCAGTTTTCCGGTATCGACTTCAACGTGCAGGACCGCCGTCACCACACGCGCATCTTATTAGAGTCAATGCAGCGTCGTAATCACCTCTTTCCACTCAGTAACAAGGACATTGCTCATCGTCTGCATAAGTACCGTGATGAACCAAGCGAGCTGCTCGATGATGTCCAGCGGCGTCCTGATAAAGTTGACTGGGATGCTTCTTTTATTGCCTCAAAAGTAGTTGGAAGAACACCCAAAGCCGAGAACGAAAAGTCGGGAAACGATTCCAACAAAGGAGAATTACCAGCTCTAAGAAATTATTTGGAAAGTTCTCCGTCTACTTCCACTGAATATGAGGAGTGGCTAACCGATGGCTGTCCCACAACAAACTGGGATGTGTTTCTACAAGAGGAACTCTACGGCCCTAAAAAAGATAGGGATACTTTCTATGCTTTAAAATACTCTACAAATAGATGTATTAAAAAATAGAGGATCTGCCCAAACTTTTTTAGATGTAATACTTCCGTTTTTGTCTCTTCTGTGAATTTTAATAGTAGCAGCTAAAGAAAATAGTTGTCTTCACTATGTCATTGTTCATTCGTTTAGATGCAGTTTTTTTTTCCTTTTTTTTACTTCTAGCATCTAATCTTTTGAATCTTTTATAAGCATGTTTCCTTAGTTTGGCAAGCCTAAATCACTTACTTGAATTATTTCAATTTTGCGAAAATCACTAAGACCATATTAAACCTCCTTATACATCCTTTACATATGGATGTGAGAAGAGGCGCCAAAATAAAGCTTGATGTTTCTTGTAATCGGGAAATCGCTCACTTATTTTTGACTTACCTATTTATGGTCTTTAATACTGAGAAGAGGAATGCAATGTATGGAAAAGGTGAAAATTAGTATGGCGTTACAAGTACAAGATAATCGAAAAAAATGGATACCTGTATTTTTCTTTTTTGATTCTCTTTTTGTAAATTCACACTTCTCTTTTCCAATCATTTTTTTTTTACAACCCTAGCCTCCTTCATCGACACACGCAAACAAAAAAGGTGAGTGAAAATGCTTCGTTTCTCTCTCGCTTGTCTGGTTCTTCCAAAGGACCGAAAAGAATATATGGAGTTGGTGAAGTCCTTACGTTATCGCACCGAGGCACCCATCATGGACTGCACGTCGGCGTTAAAGGAGTCCGATGGTGATATTGACGCGGCAATGCAGCTGCTTCACACGAAGGGCCTGGCGCGGGCTATGAAAAAGGCCAATAGCGTCACCGAACACGGTTTCCTAGTCAGTTGTGTGAGCCCTATCCCCCGCAACGGTGCCGCGATCATCACGATGTGCAGCGAGACCGATTTCGCGGCCCGCAACGCGCACTTTCAGCAGCTCTGCCGGGTCACCCAAGACCGCCTGGTGGCGATGCTCGACCAGAGTGCCGGGGGGCTTCTGGCCCACCCCGCGGAGGCTACCGAGGCCCTTAATGCCGCCATGGACGACGTCCTCCGCCCTGCCATCGCGGTTCTTGGGGAGAACGTCCGGGTGCGTGCGGTGACGCCCTTACTCATGGCCTCCCCCACCTTAGAAGGCCTTCGTTTAGGCTGTTATGTCCATGGCGGTGTGGGGGTCGAGGAGGTCGGCCGCCTGGTCGGGCTCATTGCGGTTGAGCACCGAACAGGAGTGGAGGTGGAGCCGGAGGTGCTGACCTCCGTGGCTCGCCATTTCGTCGCAACCTCCGGCGCGGAGGGCGACTACGCCCAGGAGAATTTTTTCGGCACCGATAATGAATCCTTCGACGCATGGATGAGGCGCCACCATCTACGGTTCAACAGCAGCTTGGTGATGGAGTTCGGAAAGGACCCGATCCAACATATTTTGTGAAGCAATTGCAATCACACAATGAAGAGTGCACAGGAGGTACCCATACAGGAGATGGGCCAATAACAAAAATGGCACGTATTGAATATAGGGATGTTAGTGAAATATATATCTAACGGTATATGCACCGCTTTTTCCCCTTGTTGCTGACTTGTATAGTACACTTAAATAGCTAGAGGAAGCAACGGTTTTGTTGTCTTTGCTTTTTTTTTTCGTTGCTTCACTTTCATCTTTCCTTCTAAAAATTGAGCTCAAGTGTTGCAAAGACGTGGATATACATGAAAGCACAAACTGAGTGGCCATAAAATTCAATTTAAATATACTGATGTGTTCAATCGGTATGAGCACATGTTTGCTTTTATTCCTAATATTATATTTATTTTGCATATGCATCACATGTATATTTATTAACCGATTCTGCATAAGTGGAAATAATAATCTTGAGGAAAATAAAGGAGTGTTTACATTCAATCACAACAACTTTATAAATCAATATACTCCATAGAACAGCGTTGATGACAGGCGTACTCGAAAGGTTGCCTCCCATTAGTTTCACGCGAAGGGACCTTACCAGCAGCTCTGCTTCCGAACATCACTGTATGTTAGTCTATCCAAGGGGAACAAGGAGTAAACAGCGCATTGCAATAGGTGATCGTACAGGTACTCTTAGCGCATTCTCTATCGGAAAACAGGGAAAGCGAGTTGATGCGTTCAATACCGGCGAAAATGCTGAGGACAGGGATAGATCGCCTGTGAGCTGCATGACACTTTTTGGTGACCAGCTTTTTTGCATACACGGTAGTGTTCTGAGCGCTTACACGCGCAAAGGAACTTGCTTTTTTACGACTGACACTAACTCAACGGAGAAGATTCACTCACTTTACGTCGCCACGCCATTTTTCTTCATTGCCGGTGACTTTATGGTAACCTCCTTCAAAGAAACGAAGGAGTTGGGTTTTTATATATCGCCAGATAGAGTGCACGATATGACAGCATTTGTCAGCGCGACCGCTCTAGTGAGACCGGATAAAGTGCTAGAAGATTATATACTCTGTCTTGCTTGCAATGACCGTGTTGTTCGATTGCTGCAGAACAACCAACTCATTGAAGAAATTCACTGTGAGGCGCCTATCACGGTACTCTACGTGGATGCGGAACGCCGGCAACTATACTACGGTACGAAATTCGGTTCGATCGCTGTGTTTGACATACTGAAAAACAACTCGATGAGGCGTTGTTTTAGTTATTGTCCCTCACACGCACAGGTTCACTCTCATATTACGTGTTTGTCGGTTTTCGATGTGAATGCAGATGACAAAAAGGAAATTTTGGTAGGCTACGAAAATGGCGTCGTAAGGGTGTTTGGCATCCTCGCACAAACCAGCAACAACGACATTACCCCCGCTAATGATGGAGGCAGTGCCATGGACGCAGGTAGTCTCCACAACCTTTGGACTGGTGAAGTTGAGGAAAAGGTAATCGGTATTGCGAGCGGTGTCGTCACGACATCTGCAGCCCAACCCGATTTGCTGGTACATGTCTTTAGTGGTTTACTGATTTCCTTCGTGTTGGATAGCCCGGAGGTGGCTGGTACTGATGAAGAGGCCGCTTTACGGCGTATCCAGCAGCAAAACGACATCGCCGCCAAGAAAGATGAAGTTGAGGCCTCAATTGCTCAACTTCAGGCACAAATTTTGCGAAGCTCAAAAGAGCTGGCGCGTTTGACGGGAGCCACCAAGAAAAAGGCCCCGCTAGTGGCTGTGGCCTCAACCTTTAACGCGCAAGTCCGCCTTAGCCCATCTAAACACAGCCCTATGATATCACTTGTGGTAGATATGGATGTGCCCATCGAGTATGCAGTTTTACGCAGCAGCAGGACGATCACTTTTGTAGGAACGGAGACCACACAGGTCACCCCGCAAACCTTCTTTTCAGACCATCGTGATCAGGACGGAATAGACGTAAAGCGTGGCAATATCACCTCGACGGACCGAAGTCGTTCCCTAGCTCTCGCCAGGCCTTGGTTGGAGAACCTTAGCACCAAAGGTGGTCGCCGTCTAGAAGTGTTTCTCTGGTCAGATGAAGGCCTAAGCGATAGGATATCCGTCACTTTGTACGCCAAGTCGGCGCCACTGACGGCTCAGGTGAAGACGGCCTTGCTATGCGCTTTGCCACTTTACGCACGTGTAGGAAGCCTCACTGATGCAATGGTAATGTTTCCATCCAAAGAGGAGGCGGATGCACTATATCTTTCAAAAGTTTTGGTTCAAGGGGAATTAAAACTCAATTATGTTTTAAATTGGCTTGCGCAGCTCCTACCTGATATGTGTGAGATCCATCAAGGGAGCCTCAGCACTGATGAAAAGTATCATTACACCTATTACTTTACTAGTGAATTTCTCAACTCGTTGCTAATAGTAGACTTCACAAATGAGACAGTCACATTTACCAGTGACTCACTCACCGCGTTAAGTGTCATCAAACGTTATGTATCCATTCAAGCGGCGTCCCAGAAGCTTATTGTGTATCTAAAGGATAGCATTCTCTTCAATTCCGCAATGTGGCGTCTTACCCATATCCAACCTATTATTTTATGCTGCGCAGAGGTGTCTAAAAATAACAAGCTTCTGGAGGGGCTCCGGGAGCTGCAAAACGATGAGTCGGATCTTAATTACCTACCTGAACACCTCCAACAAATCCTGAACGATGCGGATCGCCTTCAATCCGAGACCAAAACGCTGGCACAGGACGAAGCCTACATAAAGCGAAGCGTGGTGGAATTGTACAAAGGCCTAGTAGATTTTTCCAAGCATACCACTCCGCTTACCCCTGAGATTCAGCGACAGCTAAATGAGGCCTGCTGCTGGCCAACTTTATCCTATAACTCGTTGTTGTGTATATTCTTTCCAAATGATGAACATATACGGGAGAGGGCGCAACTGGCACCGAAAGCCGCACCAGTCGTCAATAGTTTAGATATCAATGAGAGCAATGATGAGCTACAGGAAGAATCCATCACTGTACGGCAGTAATGTGGATCTTTATTTGAGTTGAAAATGTCCACATTATCAAAATTCACTTATTTATGTGGTCTTTCATCATGAAAAATTGTCTTCCTTAGTAAAAGTGAAATTCTTTTTTAGTGTAGAGCTTGTTTCAATTATTTTTAGATGATGAATGAATACGTTTTACAGTTTTATTCTATTCTATTAATATTCCTAGAATACCAGATATTTGAATATATGTAGTAAAGGTGGAAAAGAAAAGCAATTTTTTTTTTCGATATGGAATGTTTATAATAGGAATTTTTACCCTTTTGGAAGTGAATATCCGTTTTTACACAATTTCCTCTTTTCACCAAACAGCTCTACCTCATTATATATTCAAATGTAAAAAAAACTAGGGAACACGCATACAATACAAAATAAAAATAATGTCGTCAGATACATTCTCACTCATTATGAGTGCTCCCGACGATGAGGCGACTTTTCTATCTCTCCCATACATTGATGAATTGCTTTACTGGTATAAGCAGAGCCAGTCTAAAATTCATAGCAACTATTCCCTCAACGAGGAAAACACTTCTACAGAGTGTTGGGGCGCTTCTGGCGCCACTCAAATTTCTTCCATTGTACGAAATCGTGTGGAAGCCGAGCGATATTTTGAAGAGAAGTACTTTGATGACAGCAAAAGAATTCAGGTACTAAATAATTCCTTTGAGGCTGTCACCCGACCCACGACAGGATCCGAATCTGGCTCAGTTCGTCACGAGAAGGCACTACCCACGTCCAATGATTCAAAAACGCGCTCCAACAGACTCTCCTCGGCAAAAGTACCGAATATAAAGCCCTGCAGCACTTCCGACGCGCCGGTGAGGAAGAGCGAGTTGCACCCCAGCCCTGGGTCCCCCTCGCAATCCCCCCTAGGGGTGCTCTGGATCGGGTTATTCCGGGCCCTGGGCTTCCCCCTCCAGGTCATCACCACCGCCACAGACCTCCCCCTGGCGTCACCTGCCATCCCGCCGGATGATCTTGTCCTGGGGCGGAAGCTCTGCGATTTCTCGGCCTACCCTCTTAGCCCGGACAAGGACACGCGGGTCCTGGGGTACAAACTTCGCGACGCCGACGCGTTGCGCTACACGGCCTTGGTGGAGTGGTTTGAGGACCTCCTGGGGTTTATACTCCAATGGGACTACTCCTGTCAACAGGCCCGTTGCGTTCTGCTAAGCGCCTTAGCCCTGCTGCGGTGCTTGGAGGGCATGCCCGCCGAGGCGACAGAGGCCGATGTGGAGCAGGCGGTGGGGGAGCTCCTGACAAACGCGCTAATCGTGCAGGCCTGCCCGGTATCTATCCATGTGCGCGTCCCTCAGACGCTCGAGGAGCCCTACACCGAACCGGTGTGTGACCTGAAGCCGATCTCCAACCTCGAACACCGCCCACTGAATGAAAAGAAAACCGACAAAAATCAGCGCCCGACATTGATGGAGACACCCGAAAGCGGGGCTCTCCATGCCGTCACGACAATGGTGCCGGAGCGGACCGAAGTGACCCGCAAGATACTTGTCGGACCGTATTTTAGCGCGGTGGACGTAGAGGCTGTGTTGGACTTCTTAGTTAGTTCTGCTGTGATGCATTGGCGTCTTTTTACCTTTATCCTATCTGAACCACAGACGGTGGATGTCCACAGTACGACACTGGTCCTTGAGGATATCCTTCCGTGCTTCATTCCTCCGCTTTCGGAATTCGTGTACGAGGAAGAACACAACTTGGCTATAGAAATGGAAGCTGTGTGGCGTGCGGCCTCCGATGGAGCAGAGGATATATTTAATGAACTATATCTGCGCCCGATCGAAGACCTACAGATGCAGGAGAATCAAGAGTGGCAAGCCCTGAAGGTGGCAAAAGAAGCCGCTAAAGATGAAACTGATGATGTTGAACTTAGCCGAGAAGAATACGGACGTATAGAGCGGGCGTTTAACCTTCGACTTCAAAAAGCGTTGGGAACTGGGTCCTTTATTACCAGTTCTAGCACGCAAGGGCTGTCGTGTGATGGCTCATCCCCCGCTGTGATTGCAGCCAACTCTGTTAATGCTTCCTCTTCTCCGCCACAAAGTTCTGGAACACCACCACCAACAGGTAAATTATCCCGATCTGGTAAACTTAGCAATCTGCATCATAAAGGGCTTCGAGGAAGTCTTGGATCGACGTTAGTTCTGCCATGTTTTATTAAACAAGAGACCGGAAATGACTCTGAAGATTCAGGTCCCTTCGTTATGGATGAAGTAATAAAACGAGTGGAAAAAATAGAAGTTTGTGTGGAGGAGCGGTTGGCTGAAAGCACCTTGGTTCGAACCAAAACCGCGGTACGAAAAAAATAAACCGTTAATGTCATATAAACTCGGGGTTTTATGGCCGTGATGTAAATTTTTTTGTCTGACATGACATACACACGTGTACTCACACACAAAAAAAAGAAGGCGGTAAGTCGAGTAAATACTCTTATATCGGTAGAAAAAATAGAATTTGTTCAGTACTTGTGTCTTTTTGTGTTAGTCATTTGCATAGAATGCAAAACCGTAACCTCTGATTATATTGACGCAATTCCCTTTGCATAGTCCTTAGGAATTCTACAAGTAGCATAAAATGCATCTCTAATCTTTGCACCTCTCCTTAGTAATTGACGAGTTTTTTAAAAAGTGAAGATCATACAACCTGGGTATCAATTTCCCAACAATAGCGTATCCCTTTCCCTTTACTTTAGGTATCTTAGAGGTAGTATTTTCGTGTATTATATAGTTTCATATGCTTAGCATCGTCGTCGTTCGCCGCACCACGAGAAGGAGAACGACCATTCCGTTTTTACCATCTGCACTGGTCACCTCACGACGTTTTTTAGATTATTGGGCCTTTGGGGTGACCGGGCGTACCCAATACTTCGCCCAGGGCGACATGCTGCCGCGCCTGGACAATACCCGCAAGGCGATCAACAAATCCACCGCCGCGGCGGCTACCCTGACCGGGAACCCAAGCGGTATCGCATACGATAGTACGAACATTTTTAGCGCTATTGGATACAGCCAGCTTGAAAAAGAGCATTACCAACCTTTACGAGGAATTAGTACACACAAAATGGACACCACCTTGCGGGAGAAAGAGGGCCATACCGTCGCGGCGCTGATGCGGGAGCTGAAAGCGGCTAGTGGAATAGAATCCCTGGAGTACCTATGGTGGGACCGCTTGCTGAAAGACTTCCCCTCGCTTGCCAAGCCGTGTACACCCGATTTTAAGACGTCCTGGGAAGAATTTTATCTAAAGGCGTCTGAGGTAGTCTACGATAATGCTGCGGTGAATCTCCTTGCAGTGCCGTTTGTACGGAAGCAGATGCAGGTGAACTACATCTCCTACCCCCTGATTTGGCGGATCGCGGAGCGGCTTGGAAATGCTCTCGAGAGCTCCCCCATCGCCTCGCGTTATGAAAAACGCATATCAGTACGAGTTGTCGAACATATCACAAAACTGATGTTGGACACCATCGCCAATGAGCCATGGGCTCACCAGGACACTACCAGCCCTCTACACGTGGACGTCACGAGTCTTCGGGCTTGGCATGAAGCTGGGTTTTGGTAGCCATGAAGTAGATGGGTGAGACAAGGGAATATATAGATGGATAAATACAATATATACATATAGCGATGCAAATTAAAAAAAAAAATTAGGGAAGTATGATCAACTGAAAGCTAAGGCTTGGGTTAACCCTCCCCTCCCCCCTCCTTCGTGTGATGTTTGTTTTCATTGTATTTCCTAGCAAACTTATCCGGGGAATTAAAAAAAATATTAGGTAGTAGTATTTCTGCTAGTTTTGAAGATAACTTTCAATTGATTAGGGCTTCTATAGGAGCATTTTTTTTTTCAGGATAGCACACAATACCTATTAGTGATGTTTGTGTTTGTATTCATTCATATATATATATATATATGTGTGTACTACGAAGCATTGGTTTGGAAAACAATAAATTGAATATGTATATTACCATAAAAATAAAACTTTCATCTTGTCATACTCTGAAAGCACCTATTCCATTCCCTTTCACCTTTTTAAAATTAAATCACCGACTACGCGTCAATGGACATAATAAAAAAAATAGCTCATTCCAGCAGGAATCGTTTTCTTTTTTCGTACACGATCATAAATCCATGGCATTGCCTGTTCGAGGTGGTAGAGGTGGTGGAAAAGGAATGATGCGGAGCACCCGTGGTGGATTTCAGCACGCCTCAGGTCGTGCGGCGGCCACGGGGAATATCAAAAAAGCGTCGTCCGTGCCTGCCTTCCCCGTCGTGCGCCGCGCATCCCACCAAGGCCACAGCCACGAACCTGCACCCCACGTCGTATCCTCCCGTCGAGCAGGGGATGACGAGGATGATGAGGCCGCCCCCATCCCCCAAAGTGCGCGGCAATCAGGCCGCGCGGGGCGCCACCCCCAAGACCCCACCACCCCACCCCCCGCCGCTTTCCATTCCGCCTCCACACGACCCCTAAAAGGGCATTCCTCTCCCGGGATGGCCCCTCGCCGGCAATCTTCTCAGGCCCCGGAGCGGCCTTCCCAGGCCCATCCCCGTACCCCATCCGCTCCTTCGCCGATGATCACGACCATCACCGCGGACGGCACGGAGCTCCCGCAGAAGCTCAACAACAAGATATTTATTGATGGGCTTCCCTACCAGCACACCGCGGGCCCCGGGGGGGCGACCTTGGAGGATGAGCTCTTTCAGTTCCTGACGGCCTGGAAGGTCGGGAAGCCGCTGCGGCTGATTAAGAAATCCGGGCAGGGCTTCGGGTTTGTGGTGTTTAAATCCCCCAATAGTGTGCCCACCGCGGTAAAGGTGCTGAATGGGCGTAAATTTCTTCGCCGGGCGCTCCGCGTCGAGGTGCCGAAGGCGCGGGACTTGGAGACGCTCCAGGACCGAGGCGGGGCCGCGGACGATGAAAAGGACAGCTTCCGTCGTCAGGTTCTGCTGACAGATTTGGCGAAGGTCGCGCAGCCCGAGGTGATTCGCGAGGTCCTGCGGGACATCGCCCCCCAACTCGAGCAGCGCCTACAAACGATAAAGATGACCTCGCGTAATCGAAAGGCGTTTTTGACCTTCGAATCGGAGGAGGATGTGGGGACGGCGATCACCTTTCTTGACCGATTTCATCTGTTGGGTCGTCGGATCTCGGCGGTTCGGGCGGCCCCGCCTGGAACGCTACCCTACTCCCGCGGTGGGGCCAAACCGGCGTCCTCCATCGGCGTGGATGAACCCCAATCACCGCCCCAGGGCGGTCTCAACAACGACGACGATAACCTCATCGTCCCCCTCGGCATCGACCCCTCGGCGATGCCGAGGGCGAAGGCCCCCCAACACCCCTCACCCCCCGCTCCCAAACCCGCCTTTCACGCGGTCGGCGCTTCAACGGGCGATCGCGGCGGGCAAAGTCGAAAGTACGATCGCCTGGTGAAAGGCTCGCCGGAGATCTATGTGGGGAACCTCGGCGAGCACCTCACTACCCAGCAGCTCCGCGAGCACTTTGAGGGGTGTGGGAAGCTGCTCTCGTGTGAGATTCTCGTTCACCCCGAGACGCACTTAAGTAGGGGGATTGGGAAGCTCATTTACGCCCTCCCGTCCTACGCGGCGGCGGCGCAGGAGCGGCTTCACGGCTCGCGATTACGCGGCTGTGTGCTGCGGGTGGACCGTGGCGAGGATCGCAGTGCGCCGCTGGCCTCCGAGCTTCCCCCGGTGGACACGGCCGAGGAATACGACGAGGACGCCTACATCGCCGAGCGCTTTGGGATTAAGGATAAGGAACGCTACTTCAAGGGCACCTCATTCGAAGCGAACGATGAGGGGAAGTCCGTCAAGCCGAAACGCGCCAAGCGCGCTCTCGAGGAGGACATCGAGCGGCCACCGCAGCGAAAGAAAGCAGAACGTGAGAAAAAGGAAAGCTTTCATGGTGATGCCGATTTAGTCGTGGGTGGTGACCTCTTTGCAAATCACAAAAAAACTTCTGGGCGGGTGGAAAGTGACGATGAGGAGGAGCAATTCTTTGATGTTGATGACGATGAGGAAGTACAAGAGCGCTCGAAGGCCGTCAAAGGCAATAAGGGTAAGCCGAAAAAGAGCTCCGCTGTGACGGCTAAGAAGTCAGCGCCTTCGAAAGCCCGTATAGGGAAAAAAACTGTTCAGACTAATGGAAAGACGAAAAAAGAGCATATAAGCAAACCGAAGACCCAACGAAAGTAAAATGATTAATAATGATAATAATATAGATTTAGAGACAATTGAGGATGGTGTTACAGTCGGTGACGCAAGCGCCGAAACCTTTTTCTAAACTTTAATGAATAAAAACTTCGTGTAAAAGTTAAAAGGTGCTGCACAAACATGGCTGTGCGTGAATCTAAGCGAACACAATGTGCAATTCATCTAACCAAGATGAATTGACATTGGTCAGCAGTGCAATTTGAGATATATGTCAAATATAAGCACCGATGTTTGTTTTTAATTTACATTTTTCTGTCTAGTTTTCTTCTTTTCCTACCTTGTTTCTTTCCATCTTCCCTTGCAACTGGGAAGGGAGGGAGAGGCAGGGAAAAGAGAGCAAATAATATAATTAGTAAAAAATAACGTTTATTAGATAGGTATCGTTAACAAAATCTAGATGATACGTGCGCCCAGGAATAAGGACTCATCACGTCCTATTATAAAGCGCACACGAAGCTGGCGTGGTATCATGCAAGTTCGGTTTAACGATACTAAGTTTGACAGCCGTCGACTCACCCGCCAGGCATTCATTTGGTCACCACTGCGCGTCTTCGGCTTAGGTCTTTTGTCTATGTCGATATTTTATTACATACTTGGACACGATTACTTTATGCATTCATTGATGGGTTATGAGTCCGAAATGCAATATGAAATGCGAGTAAATCCGACTTTGGGCGCCCTATCGTGCAGTGCTGGTTTTGTAATTGATCTTGATAAAGGGTGTAAGTCACCACTACGAGACTTGGAAAAACCGCTTCATCCTAAGCGAGAGTTTGATATTTTTAAGAATGATCTCAAATAGGGAGTTAACATCAAAAAAAACACCAAAACTACGAGATACGCTATTATATTAAGCCTATTCTTTTTGAATAGGATTTGTTCTTTAGCACTGTGCTGCTACCTTATCCTTTAAAAGATGAAACAACGCTTTACTAATCTACATGATTTTATCCTTACACTCATATGCACATCCCTTTAAAATTGCTTCTTATGTGGATGTATGGATATCGAGAAAGCTAAATTCCACAAAGTAAAAATGCTTGAGTGCGTATAAATGGTAAAAGAAAAAGGTACGCGATCTTCCATTCCGAATTTCCCCTTAATATTCTTGATATATTTTTTACCTTGATTGCATAGGGTCGTTGCTATTATCCACACAAAAAAAAATTCCAGAAAATATAATAAAAAGAAAATGCCCGCATTAACCGAAGATGATATTCGCCAATCGCCTCTATGGAAACACATGACCCGAATCCTCACCAGAATAGTTTCGGAACAACCCTCAGACCCGCTTGAGGTGCTGAATCCGATCTCGAACTACGTTCTCACCGGCAATGCGGTTCCGCCTAGAAACTATACTGGGGTGTTTGTGGAAGAGCACACCCTGTCGAAGGCCGACGTTCCGAAGGATAGCCTCGACAACACCCGCTGGGCGGCACATTTAACGGAGGCTCTGGCCCCGCCCAAGCCGCGGCGCCGCGTATCCGACGGCGAGAACGACGAGGAAGACAGCTTCGAACAGGCTGTCAACGACAACCGGTTTGCCCCGGAAAACGATATCGATGAGAGTGCGGGATCCGGCATCCTGAGCGACGTGGTCACGGAGCAGCGCACCTTTAACGCGCTTGGTACCGGCATCCCGCCCGAGGCGGCGTACCACGTGATGATTGGTCTGAAGAAACTAATGAAGGCCGAGCCCCTGTCCAGCGCGCGGCTCTGGGGCAAAATACTGGGCAGCAAAAGCGACTACTACATCGCGGAGACCGAACTGGACCCGACCCTCATTCCCCCTAAAGACGACGAAGACGATATGGACAATGGCTACGATGGCGAGGATCTTCCCGTGGAGAATGTCGCCGACGTGTTCGGCGCGCACCTGCTCAAACGCCATCACGCCGTCCCCATGGAGGAAAGTGGGATGGACCTTAACAAGTTTGTCTTCTACGCCGCGAGCACGGCCGATCCGATGGTGTGGACTCGCTTGCCGGATGTCGAGCCCCAGCACATTACCGTGGCGCGGCTTATTTGTAGGGAATTCACAGGGAACTTAGAGACCCCGGTGCGCAGCCATCCTCGCTTTCCTGGGGTGGAGAAACACTACCTGCGCGCGCAAATCGCCCGCATCGCGTGCGCCTGCAGCATCGCCCCGAAGGACAGCTTCACCACCCACGGGGCCGTCCCCGACGTCGACCTCGACGAGGACGAGGATGAGGACGGGAATCCGATCCCCCCTCCCGAGCGGGTCCCGGCCTACGCCGAGGTCCCCCCTTTGATCCCGCAGAAAGTCCCCAACGAGGACGACACCGAGGACATCCAGTCCGTCCGGGCCTGGTATGAGGGCTTCAAGCATGGGGAGCTCCTGCAGGGCAAGCACTGGGTGCACATCGCGCCGACCCTGCTTCGCTGCGGGCGGGCCACCCTCCCGCCTCCGCCCCCCCATGACCCCGAGGACGACCTCGGCGACGCCGTCGAGCCCGCGGCGGCGGCGGAGGTCGAGACCATCCGGCCTTTCCTCTCGGACCTCAGCAAGGACGACGCGATGACGCTCCCGGGCCACAGCCGGCCCCAGCTCGCCTCCTGGACCTTCTCCCAGGGCTACCACAACGAGAGCGACGACACCAAGCTCTACCTCGCCCGCTCCATGCGCTGGCCGGGGGCGGTTTGCTACGCCATCACCACGGGGAAGCCGGGGGCGGTTTACCAGTCCTTGTACGTCGGGAACGGGCTGAAGGACTCGCAGGGGGTGGACTACGCCCCGCAACTCCCGCCCCGCCGCATGGCGGAGTTCCCCGAGGACGGCCTCGTCCTCCAGCGGGATTGCACCCCACAGGAGGAGCAAGAGTACGCCCCACCGCCGGTCCCAGACGACGTCAGGGCTGGCGACAACGAAACTGAGGACGACGATCAAGACGATGAATAATAGACGAAAAGGGAGATAAATGAATTGATGCGACACTACACTTTTTAGGGATGTGGGGGGGGGAATGCCTCCCTCGATGTTATTCGTTCCGAATGAATAAAGAAATTATTTCTTAATCGATCCTTCAGATATGAACTTTTTAAAGATATTTGATATGATTACAAAAAGGTAGACCCTAAAAAAAAATGCCTGTATTATTACGTTCTCCTATCTCAACTATGAATTGTTAAGTTCATTTTCAGACATGTATCATAGGAAAATTTTTTTACTTATGCAAATAAATAACACCCTACTCTTCATTTTACTCCTTCTCTTATGACTGGAGATTTTGTTTAAAGGTGTTGATCAGCATATCTTTTTTCTCCAACCTCTTTCCTTTAAAAAAATCAAATAAACTTCAGTATAGTTGTAGATACATTTGATTTGTTTTTCACAACCTTAACTTTATTGTTCGTCTTTTTTAAAGGATATCTTCTATTTATTTGCACTAGTTTTTTTTTCATATTTTATTTTAACTAGAAAATTTTTCTGCCATACTTCGCTATTACATATCTTGTCACATTTAGGAAAATAATACTAATCCACAGAAAGGATGAGTTCTTTGACCTGTAATGCGGGGATTGGGACCACCCTTCCGTTTCTTTGCGTGTGTTCTCTCTTCAGCTTTCTCTGCGGCGTGGGTATCGGCGCGAATGACCTCAGTGCGAACTTTGCCATGGTTGTGGGCAGTGGTTCACTTGATATGAAGCAGGCTATTATGTACTGCACTATTTTCGAGCTTCTGGGCGCCGCTTTTATGGGTGGACGCGTCAGCAGCACCATTCGCGATGGCATTGTGGACCCCATCCTATTCAGCATGAACCACGATATCGTAGTGATCGGCATGACCGCCTCCTGTTTCGCCTCCGCTCTCTGGCTTTATCTATCCACCGTGTTTGGCCTGCCGGTCTCGATCACGCACACGGTTGTGGGCTCCTTGCTAGGATTTGCCATTTTTTCGAACTTGAGCTTCGAGTATGTCAAGGCAAAGGGGATTCTGGTCATCGTCGCGTCGTGGGTGTTGGCTCCTGTTGGTGCGTGTTTGGTCACCGCAGGGATCTTCTACGTCATGCGACGTGAAATTTTTAATGTCAAGGGCCGTTCCTTTGATATTGCCGTTTGGGCCATGCCCTATTGTCTTGCCTTTTCTTTATTCATTGATTTCATGTTTATCCTAATTGAGCGCCCACCTATCATAACCCATACCCTTTCGGCGTACGTCCCGGTCACCCTTCAGTTCCTTATTTTACTGATGCTTATTATCTTCTACTGTGTTGCCTGTTCGTGGTGGTACTTTCCCAATGTCATCGAGGCCGCTCAGACCGCCTTACATTTCGTCTGGGAGAGCCATGGGACGGTGACGGAAGTGGTGGAGCTGCGGCTATCCAGTACAGGGGTTCCTTTTGTTTACGACGACGAGGCCGATCTCCAGGCCCAACCCCACATGATTTCTCGGGAAGGGTCGCTGCACCGGTCCTTCATCAATAGCCCGGAGCTCTCCGGGGTGCATCGTGCGGAGGAACCCCATGTCGGGAATTGCTCCTTCGTGTTGAACCCCATCACGCCGGCGGACAGTCATATTCGGCTCAGGCGGTTGGCCTGTCCAACCCCGAAGGACTCGTTTAGCCTTCACCCTGAGGGAGGAGGGGGGGGATTGGCTTTGGATAGCCAACCCCTCAACGCGAATCGGGCCTCCGAGTCCGACTACGGCGCCATCACCAAGCCGGCGGCGTCGAAGCAGGGGGGGTCGGGATCACCCGACCAGATCTTCCACTCCAATGATGAGTTCAACGAGCCGGACTGGCGGATGGACCACCCGATGAAGCCGATTAACCTTCGTGGGGTTTTTATCAAGCCCTTTAACCCTCGCGCGGAGTACCTCTTCACCGGCCTGCAGGTGGTCGCGGGGAGTATGTCGAGTTTTGTTCACGGCGCCGTCGCGGGCGCGAACGCCACGGCGGCCTTCACCATTCTTTACGATCGCTTCACCAAGGACGAGTTGGGGATGGTTGGGTTGGGCTCGGGGTGGGCCGTTTTGCCCGCGATGCTTGGAATCGCGATCGGGATGTTCGGGCTCGGTGCGAGTTTGATGCGGACGGTGGGGATGGAGCTGGTGACCGTGACCCCGGCGCGGGGGTGGTGCATCCAAATGGGCAGCACCGCCATCACGATGGTCTTGACCGCCGTTGGGATCCCTATCTCGCTCTC